AATTGTTAACAGAATAAAAACTTATAGAATTTCAGCTAAGAGATGAAGTAACTTCACATAAGTTTATGAACTTATGACTTGTGCTTTTAAATATCAATCACAATTCCTAATTGGTCTTCTTAAAGCCAATTCACCAAAACGGAATATTAATTACTTTTAGTTTTAATATTAAAATAAAAGCAGTATTATCATTGTTGCTCTAAAAATGACTACATAATAAGAGATGTGGAGATTCTCCTCTTATTTGCAATTACTTGTTACCAATAATTTTTAATGCTTAATAAACTTATTCAATGGTGCAACTGTAGGGCACTCATTTCCCAGCAGTTGTTATGGCTGTTATATGCTTTGCTATTTGAACCAGCATGCTCATCATGGTTTTTATACTCACAAAATTATAGCCATCTTGAAATTTTGAATCAAACCCTTTATTCAGTCTACAGGTATATCTCCTGCTTTCCGCACAAACCCACAACTGTCAGGGAGCCAGATATATTTTTCATCACCACTTAAATCCACTCGGCCACATGTCTGTTGAACAATAGAAACTTAAAACCTAATATTGTACTCAACTTGTGGAATGCTTTTTTTATTCTTTTCTTAATCAAAGGCTCCTGGATGGTATTCTCTATGCTAGGTCGCCTGAGGAGATTGACAATGCCCAACATGTATGCTGATTCTTTCATTTGTCTTATCCTTTAGTGTTTTTCTGTTTTGTTATTATGACAACTTCATTCCACAAGTTGATGACCATCTATTTTTTCCCACATATGGTCTATCATGCCTGATTTCAATGTCTTTTCTTGGACAGCATCTTTTCAATATTCCTCTACTTTTTTACTTTTAGAGGGTGGCTGGTCTCGACATTGTATTCTTTGCCATAACTGCATGGGATGAATTAGGACTCAAAATTAATCTTTTCTCAAGAATGATAGAACATAAGTTTGGACTGATAGGTTAGGCTTTATTTTATTTATTTATTAATTTTTTTGACAATGCTGGTATGATACAAAATTTGTAATTAAGGTCCTATTATATCTATACTAAAAACATTTTTTTATATTAAAAAAAATAATTTTACTTTGTTTCTCAGGACGGTTCTGGGACGATAGTTAAAAAGTTAATCTGGAGTCCTGAATGGAATTACACACAGTTTTTGGTTGTTTTCTTCTGATGAGGGCTTTGTTTAAGAGAACTATTTCTTTAGAGAGTTGAACAGCTTTTGAATGCCATCCTGATGTTAGATAAACTACAGATTGTTTGAATCTTTTCAGATTTATCTCATATGTATGATAAGCAGATTGTGAGTTTTTTTATTGTTGTCATATACTCTTCTGACTCTGCTTGTGGAAGCTGATGTTATATTTGCAGGGTTGTTATTACCCTGAATAATGTTTCTTTTACTGATCATATTTTTTATATGTATGTGGGTTGCCACTTAACAGTTTGCTTATACCTATGAGGAATCTGCTCAACTGACTGTAGGCCTCAATGAAAAAAATATCTTTGTGAATTTAATCTAGTCAAATTTTTTCTTGGAAAATCCCCATGACCACCTACTTAAGAAAATCATAACATTTTCCCCCACTTGAATAAAAAAAAAAAAATTTTAAGTTGATGGCAAAAATTGCTGTGGATGTGGCTTTGTCTTTTGCTGTGGTGGCATGGTCTAAAATCATCCATACACACATGCACGCACACACACTGGGAGAAAATAAAGACAAAAATTGTCCAATATTTGGATATTTTTTTTTATTATGCTGTTCCTTTCAGCTTACATTAAAACAAAGCAACCCACACTCAACAAAATTACATTTCAAACTGGTCACAACACATTACATTGCATGTAGACATATGGTTCTTGTTGTTGTTAATATTTCATTCTCTCCATGGTATGATGTCATAGAACTGCATCTTGAATTTTTAACCTGCATCTGCTATTCTGTGACCATTATCATCGCATAGCAATCTTCTATGTCAGTATAACAGAATATCATCTTTGATGGTGAATATCTTTGTTTAAACATCTATATAACCATTCTGAAGATGGCTCATGTAAGCTGAAAGCTTTGATCAAGGAACAGCATAATAAAAAAAAAATATATCCAAATGTTGGACACTTTTTGACTTTATTTTCTCCCAGAATTAAAGTATACGAAGTTTAGAATGGCTCATGATGAAACATAAGACATTCGTTGTGTGTGTATATATATATATATATATATATATATATATATATATATAAATAATGTGGATGATTTTAGACGATGCCACCACAGCAAAAGACAAAGCCACCTCAACAGCAATTTTTGCCTTCAACTTAAAATTTTTTTTTTTTTAAGTGGGGGAAAATGTTATGATTTTCTTAAGATGGTCATGGGGATTTTCCAAGAAAAAATTTGACTAGAGCCCTATGCAGATATATTTTCAAAGAAAAGAGGTAGATGAAAGAAATTTAAAGAAATGTTACAAGTTTATTTCAATCTTTCAACATTTATGTCTACCGGAAATGAAATGAACATCATATGTATTTTACACACATCACATAGTAATAATACATTTCATTTTAAAACAGCAGTACTGGCCTCCTCAAAAAAGAAAGAAAACTACATGTATGTTAAAAAGTCAGGGACCAGTTTGATGTATTTATGTTGTTCAGGAACATCCATCTAATTTGATTCTGACAGATCGCCTAAGTAGAGGGAGGATCTTCTGAATGCTAGGCAGCAAAAGTTAGTCATGAAAATATTTTTATCTATAAGAAATTACTAATTAATATCATTTTGACATTTACTGTACATATTTTTTTTGTTTCGATAGTTATTTTGATTTTATGCTGAAAAAGCTTTGTATTTTATATGGTAATGCAACAATCTCATTCTTTCCACACCATATTCTAAGCTAATAATATTGTAATGTTTGATTTTTCTTTTGAAAATATTTCACTGCAATGTATCACTGTTAATAATTCTAGTCATCATAATCTATGTTATTTGTAAATAAAAAATATTTGATTTTAAAGCTTTTTGTTTATTTTTTATCAATCTTTTAAAGATTTTACATTATAATATTACTTTTTGCAAATTCTAAAAAAATTGCTGTGGTTCTCATATGATACTCTTTGTTACTGTGGTAAAACATTGGAAAGTTTTCTTAAGGATAGAAGGAGCAATATACTGAAAGACTTTGGAACAAGAAGGGTTAATACATAAAATCTGTGGAAAAGATTGCCAATTTAATTCATATATAGATGACATCTGGAATTGGTGTGTCAAGGGTTTTGAACAATGTAAAATGACCCAGACTCAGAGGTCAAGGATGATTGACATGGGTTCTATGCAGCTGAAAATGTAAGCTGTAAAGCAAAAACTTTATTTTCGTAAACAACGAATTTGAAGTTGATTTCTCCTGGTCAAAAGTTGATTTGAAATACCAGGAGACGGGGATAAGCCATCTATACTCACTGAGGAGATTAAGTGAGAGGGAAGAAAGTGGAAGGAGGGAATTCTCCAGAATTAGGAAGTAAGCTGGCAACAAAAGGGAATTCCCTTTTGTTGCCAGCTTACTTCATAATTACATGCCTTATGCCAGTTTGAGTGAATGTCAATAAATACAAATGCATGAAGTGAATTTGTCAGACAGAGACAGTTCATCTCAGCCATTGGTCATGATACACTCCACATGATTGCCTGCCAAAGAGAATCCTCTCGACTTCAGACTTGTGCTGAACTTTACCAAAAGAGTAACCCAAACTTTACCAGATCAACAATAATATCACTTCCGATTTAAACCAATTATTGTACAAAGAATTGATATAAAAACAGTATTTACTTTTTGTTCAATTTATTTTTTATCCTGTATGTTTTCGCTCTGCTTGGACCAGCCCAACACTAAGATACCTGCGACGATTCAATCTTGGCCACCTTATGATCAAACTTTAATCACAATGTGGGATAGGGCATGTCTGAGATTGAAGCAATCTTCATTGATCAGCCACTGTGTTTGAAGTCTTGGATGACTGGGGAGGGTGTTGTATGATTACACTCTTAGTTATTGCCGCAGTGCCCTCATCTTCAAGGGGTCCAGCAAGGCAGTTTTTATGTACTCCTATCTTAGGCTTAATTCATATATATATATATATATATATATATATATATATATATATATATATATATATTTTTTCCAAGAGGATAAAAATCCAAGTAGAGCTCAATGTACAAGACTGAACAAGAATATAATATAAAAGGCTCAAACACTAATATTCCATGGTTATAATTTATTACATTGGAATCATAATCACAATTCAGTTCATCAGACCTACAAATTCAAAATAAAACAGAAAATCTGTTTTCTGTTTCTCTTTGATCACTTTAAACACCTTGATAATCACCATTTGACTCATCCAACTCTTTCCAAATACTCTGCACTGTCCTCAGATTGACCCCGAAAAAACTCTGAAATGTTCATATTGGTACTTCTGGCACAAATGCCAAGCAGTACAGCATGCCGTTTCCAAATTTTTGGCAGAGGGAATTGCATCATGTTTTTTCTCACAGTGCTCAACTGATCCTACTGTACTGTGCAGTCGACAAAATCAAAAAATGAACATGCACAAAATTAAAAATATAAAATGGCGACAATTTACCAATCGCACGCTATATATATTTTTATTCTTGTTTAATTTATATTCTTTGAATAACTAATGCCCCTATAAAATAGTTTATGTGTTTATTTGGAACACTTCATGTTTTACCTGAATCATATAACTAAATAAAGAGAAGTTGTCAGTGATGATAGCACAGTCAAGCTTACTTTTGTAATCACTGTTATATAAAGAATATTTACTGAAATTTAGTTTGGCACCCAGGCCTCTGGTTATACTTGCTGTTTTTTAGTGATCACCTATCTGAGCATTGTGCTGGTTCAATGATCTTTCAGCATTACATCATTGTAAGCCATTTGAAATAGGTGTTGAATGGTGTTCTACGGTTGCCTCTAAAATGAGTATGCAGTGCTGAATGTACAGGTTATGGCTGATCAATACAAAATTGACTAGCAAGCATATTTTCTTCCATGCTTTATTTAAAGTAAATTTTGTGTTGCAAATTATAGAACTTATAGATAGATTATGATCTGTTAACTTTGCACTTTGAAAACAGGCTGCAGTTATTCATTTCAAAGTTTGTTTTTGTTTTTTAAATAAATATTTGAAAGGAGTTTATATTTATGATTAAAATCTATTCTTTTGTATTTCAGTGGCTTTGGAACATTTAACAAGATTAACTTTGAGCCACAATAAGCTGACAGGTATATATTATTTATATTTATTATATTGGCATATATTTGGAGAAGAAGGGGTAAAAACAAAATTGAAAGGAAACTACTTAACACTGTGATATTAGGAATAGCAGAAATATAGGAGGTGCTGAAAAGTTATTGACTCAACAAAGAAGGGATTCCTAAATAAATTCTGATGGTTTGATCATCTAGTTAGAGTTTGGAACATGGGTCAGCTCGGGAATCTTTCAGTATCTCTTCATATATGAAAACTAACTTAAGTAAATTTTGTTTAAATTTACTTCTCTTAAAATCATAAAATATATTTAAACATAGAGTTAAATGTCTCAAAACTTCTAAAAAATACTATTTTTAGGAGTTTACTTACGAAATAATTCAATTGTATTACAAATAATAAATATCCTACTTTCTTTTTTTGTAATGAATTGTTTTTTTGTTTTTTAACCAAAATAATGTTTAAATGCAGATCTTTTCAAAAACTTTTGTTTTGTTGTAACAAAACTTAAGAAATTATGTTTTAATATAACTAAAAAATAACTTAAGAAAGAAAACAATGACATTTTCATTAAAAATAGCACAAATTTAGAAGTAATATTCAGTTTTCAATTTAAGGAAGTCGGTTTGAGTTTGTTTAAAATAAAAGTATTGACACTTGTGGATGAATGTAACACATTTGATTGCATTTATGAACTTCACAATTTTTTATTTATTTATTTATTTTTTTTTTTGGGCAGAAATCCCTCAAGACATTGTGCTTTTGGTTAATCTTGAAAAACTGAATCTATTTAATAATCATATTGAGGTAAGAATTATCCTATCTTTGATATTGGGTAGTTTCATAACTATAAGCAATTTGACTGGGAATTAAAAAAAAAACAATAAAAAAAAAATAACCCTTTCTTTTTAGGCTTCCATACTTTAAAATTGTGTACATTAGTTTTCTGTGAGGATTGACAAAAAAAAAAGATGCTTTTGTTTTAACTGAGCACTCCAGTATTTCTATTATTGATTAATCTTTAATATTTATTATACAAATTTTACTTTCATTGATTCTAAATAAACTTTAGCCCAGTGAGATGTCCAAGTCATTTTGGAATGATCTTCATGATTACTTCGCACCATGAATAGATATTTTTCTCATTTTTATTGTAGACCTTACCAAGTAACCTCTGTGACTTTACCAAGCTGAAAACACTAAATCTAGCGTAAGTATTTCTGTCTTTCTAATCTGTCTCTACAGTTATGCTGAAAAGTTTTCAGTCCAATTCATTTCTCAAAATATGACCCAAACCTTTTTTTTTAAAGCATCTTGGTTGGTCTAAGAACTTTTCAGCACCTCGTATTTCCTGTAACTTGTTTCCTTGCAATAAAATAAAAATGACGTATTGCATTTACTCTATTAGAATATATCAGAAAAAAATGAATTCACAATTTTACTCAAAACAATGTTTCCAGTAGAGATCAAAAAACTACTAGTAGAATGTTGGTGAAGTGGGGGCAGATCGTAGAGATTAGTTTTATGAATAATTTCAACATGATTACATAATGATCCTTTCATTTCAGTGACGTCATGCTTAGAGAAAGAATTTAACTGAAACTTGATTTTATAATTGATTTAAAATTTATTAGCAAAATATAATTTTATTGATTCTTGAACAATGAATGGTTTATTGTATTAAGAACAACAATGTTATTTTTAATTATTATAATATATTATCTATTTTATAAGGATCAACCGCCTGAAAGCACTTCCACGAGGTTTTGGTGCCTTTCCCGTCCTTGAAGTTCTTGATCTTACTTACAACAATCTCAATGAGTCCAGTTTACCTGGAAATTTTTTCTGTTTAGGTGAGGATATTTTTTTTTAATTGTAAACCATACAACAGCCTTGACAGATTGATCATCTTTTGTGATGTAGAAAAAAATGTCTCTTAAAGCTGAAGGCATTCTTTTCAAAAACATCAAAATCAACCTTCAGGAATGTTTCAGTAGATGGTGATGATTATTTGGTAATGTAATATTTCCTGTTTGACTTTTTGATTATTTAGTGTTTTTGACACTTTATTTCAGGTAATTTTTTTCATTTTGTTAGTCTTCAATGAATAATTCATGAAAATCTGGAAGAAATGGAGTGTTACTGGTCAAGAATCAATGCAAGCAGTTAATGATAATTATTTTAACCCAAACAGAATAAATGAATCATTAAACTCAATAGGGGAAAAAACTACAATGATAAGGTGATGTAGCCTAAAGTTTATTTAATATAACAAATCATGTTTTATAATTGACGAGAAAAGGTTGTAATTTGTTGGACAGACATTTTTGTGGGCTTTTTATCTTGTCAAAATATAATGTGGCTGTTTAGACTTAAAATTTATTTTGTCTTTCAGTTTCATTTAGTTTCACTGCCCTCTTTTTACAAGTGAGAATTATCAAATAAAAGGAGAAAAACATTAAAAATAAAATTGTTCCAAGGAGATCCAATTTAAAAGGAATAATATATATAAAATTAAAGCTTTAACTTTCCTACTGCATTCTTTCAATCAGTTCTTTATTTGATGCTTCTCTCTTGTAATTATTTTTATCTTTATTTCTTCTGCCTCTTTGACATGTTGCCAGTGTGTTTTATAAAACATATATAAGGAAATAAGATCTTGAATATAGATTAGTCAGTTCTACAAGTTAAATTGGTTAATCAGGAATTTATTTAGCTTAACCTAGTCTAGCACAAGTTTGACACTATCGACACTCATATAGAAGAGGAAGGTGAGATTTTATCTTGATTTCTATTTCTGTTTTATGATCAGCAAATGGGTGCTTATAAAAAATTCACTAAGTGGCACAGAGGAACAGATAAGTAAAGGAGTGAATGGGAATTTTTGGAGGTCAAGAGACAACAAACCAGACATTGATTACTTCCAGGTATTGGTCTAACAGTCATGCTTGGGATTGAGGGAGTCCATTCTGGTCTGCCCTTGGATTCTCCATCATGTATCTCTGATGCTATGTGATCATTTTGCCAACCAAACATCAGGATGTGTAGACAAGCGGCGGAGAGTTGCTAGGTGGAAGAGATTATCTATGAGATTGACATAGCAGTTGTCCCAAGTGTTACCTACCTATCCAAGTGAAGCTCAGAATAAAATGTCTAAATATAATATTAGAAACAAGGTATGCTTTCTCATTTCTCAATATAATTTTTTTTTCACCTTACTATGTTGTGAATATGCAGCATTACTGAAAGAGAAAGCTGTTTATATTATTATACTTAAATGCATTGCTGATGTTTTTTAGTCTCAAAATAATACATTGAAAAGGATGAAAAAGGGGAATTAAAAACACTACTTGCAGAACAGTTTATGTATAATTTAATTGATTTTATTTCATTTTGCATTATTTTTTTAAATAATCCAAACTGGCAATGTTCACACATGAAAATACAATGATACTGATAAACATTTTTTTTTATTGGTTTGATATAATTTTGACTTTTTCAGAAACCCTTCGTGCCTTATATCTTGGAGATAATGATTTTACTACTTTCCCAGCTGAAGTAGGCAAACTTCAGAACCTGCAAGTTGTAATTACCTTTTAATTTCATTCATTTTTTTTTTTTTTTTGTCAGTTAATAAAATGTTGTGAAAACATAATAGAAGCTTAACACTTTCCCCATTCTTGTAACATTTCAGCTTGAAAAATTAAATGTAAAAATAATTGACAATTTTCATTGTCCCACTGTAATTGGTCCATGATGGACTGAGTAAAAATAATGATGACTTGTTAAGCAGATTCAGTGATAAGATCCAAATCAGATTTTGATTATTCATCATGAACAAATCAGATTTCTTGATTTGGTTTCTGTTTCAGATTAGAATTATTAAATTAGGAGCAATATTTGGAACTTGAGTTTCTTAAACTGTTTTAACTTATTTCATATTTTATTTTTCCAGCTTTGTTTAAGAGATAATGATCTGATCCGTCTTCCAAAAGAGATTGGAGGTATACAACGGTTAAGAGAACTACACATTCAAGGAAACAGGCTTTCAATTTTGCCACCAGAACTTGGTAAGAACTCACCTCAGTATAGCAACTGTTTCTTTTTCTAATACTTGATTTGATCTATGTTGTGATTTTCTCGTCATTTTCATTTAATATAACTTGCTTTCTAATAATTGAAAAGCCAAGTAGCTTTGATGGACATCCAGCCACGCACACATCGTTTAGTATGGCACACAGTTTGATGGCAATTGGAAACTTTTTTTTTTACTTGTGTCCAAACATTTCTTGACCACTGATAAGAAATATGTCACTATCCTAATTACTAAACAAGTTCTAAATAATTATTTATTAAGCCTTGTTTAGTCTGGCATAAACTCTCATTGGATAGACACTCAGTGAGAATCAATTTCCTGACATTTACAAATGTGTTTCAGAGATGAACTTGATAAGCTTCAATCTACAGAAAGCATCCATATTAATATAATAGTAACAATCATAATTTGCTATTCAAATTGTTAAACTATAGAAGTGCTAATTGGCCCAGAACTATTGAAAGGAGTTCAACTTGTGTTCAAGGTAATTGTCACTTGTGTAAATACTTTTTTAAAAGCATGAATCGAATTTCATGAGTCCAGTTTCAGTGAATTGACTATTTTCTTAACAGAATTAAGAGTATATGCCTATTCATTTCTCTGTAATATTATTTGCCCAGCAAAAGGGGCTACTTTATCTTTTTCAAGTCATGACTTAGTAATGCAATAATTATATATTTTTTTTAAACAAAGGAAGATATTTTTCTGTGATTGTATTTCTATAAAAATGTCTGAAATTATTTTTATTTGACTGTACAAGAAAAATTAACTCTGATATTACAAATTGTTCTATTTAAACAGCCCTTGTTAACCAATATTGTATTCATATTTTCTGTATTCATTTTACATAAACAAATTCTAATGTCTTTGTAAATTTGTTTTTATTACTTAGATTAGATTATCAGCAAATTAAGTTCAAAACATTTAAATTAGTGAAATTACTATACACATACTTTTCCAAATCTGTTTGGTTTTGTCATGAAATTATTTTAACTATGTTAGATACAGAAAGAAGAAATACAATGTTTGAAATAAGGTAGTCTTAGTGACTGTTTCATAGAGGAATAAAATATCTCTTGTATTTTGATGCAATATGAATAATTGAAGGGGCTGTGTTTTCAAATTTTCCTTCAACTTTAGTTCATTAATTGCACTTTTCACTTGTAGGACAACTTGATTTGTGTGGAACAAAACAACTTTTTAAAGCAGAGAACAATCCTTGGGTGACAATGATTGAGGATCAAATGAAAATTGGACCATCTCATGTATTTGAATACATTCGAACAAATACTTATAAGTTGTGAGTATATTTTCTTGTTAGAAATTTTAATTTTAAAAACATTCCACTGCAATTTTAGACTTTTAGATGCACACACATTGTTTCTGATTATATAGACCAAGTTAGTTCCTTTTTCACTCCTGGTTTAATCTTTTTTAATTTTTTTATATGATGGCTTCATTCTCTCAGTAATTATTTTAATTCTAGACCATTGGCAAAACCTACTTTCTTCTGGTTTGTAAAATACAAATTTCAGTCTTAATTAATGTCAAAATTTAATTATTTCTTTTTGCCTATTGTTAGGACTTTTTGCATGCATTAAAGTTAAGCAAATACCACATCAGCCAAAAGCTTGTCTGTATATATGACAAAAAATGAAAAATGCTATCAATACTCAAATACAATCATGATTTTTGTCTCACTATTATTAACAGAATTTACCATATTATTACATAATTAAACAACTAAAAATTTGAATGTATTTAATATATTTACCTAACTACACAATGACTTAAGTATTTTGCATAGATTTGTCATAACAGAGGCTATATTTACTTCTCATTATTTAACAGGTCAGGCAGACTTTTCATTAATAAGGAACAGAAATAAAAACTAAAATGAACTACTTGAGATAAATTCCTTAATATTGCTTTGGTAATAGTCCACACTATCCTTAAAAATCAACATTTGAGATCCTGGCCTGTAACTTCAACCACTGGTAAATAGATAATTTGCTCAGCCATAAGACAGACATCAAGTCATTCACCTTTTCTTTTTTTATTGTAAAATTCTTTTGTAACTTCAATTTCAGTTTGTATGAACGTTACACAGAAGCTGAGCCAGAACCAGCACTGAGGAAAACTGAACGTGCTAAGAGATTTGGAAAAAAATAAAACTTTAAAGCCAAATGTGCTATAATTATCCCCAGTTCTCCCAGATAACCAATGATTCATTTATCCTGCTGATTTTTTTTTTTTACACGTGATGGGGTGCAAGAAAAACATGTACCCTTACTATTTATGCATGCTAACAATTAGTTTCCTAAGCCAATAGTACTTCTGGCTTATTTACAATACTCACTCAGCATTATTATTTACAAATCTTTTAAAAGAAACACTGCCAACATTTATAAGAAACATTTCTTTGCTGCCTCCAGTCATTGTCCCAATCAAGTGCCTGTACAAATGCCTAAAAGATCATTATTTATCATGCTACTTGTTGATAATGCCTTATTTAGAATCTTTGACAGCATAATTTTGTAAATATCAAGGAAAGTAAATTAATTATGATCATAATACTTCATAACAGAAAAAAATCCTAGTAGATTTATTAAAGGAAGTAGGTTTGATCATGTAACTACCTTTTTAACTAGTTCGAGAATATGGGGGTGATTTTGATCCTTTAAAACTTAAAATTCCTGCATTAAAAAAACAATCATAGCTAATTTGCAATATGAAGCAAGTGAAAAAAAAAAAAAATGAATGAACAATGTAGAAACAAAGCATTTATTTGTCCAATGTTTACATGGTTTTCTATCAAGCATAAATAAACAGAAGTTATTAGCATTTGCAAGGCCAGAGGAGCAGATGAGTTTTTTTTATACATATATATAAAAGTTTTTCTATTTTATATTAGGATTTATTGTTAAATCATAATCACAATTCAGGCAATGTCATTGGTTGCAATATTTTTATTTTTGACTTAATGCTGCTGTATCATAAAAACTGTTGATGTTTTTTGCATCTATAATATTCTATTAAAAGATATTTAATAAAAGTAAAGTTATACATTTGGATTATTATTCTTTTTATTTATTTATTCTCTTTGATTTAAATTAAGGTAGGTTATTTCTTTTGTGCTGGTCATCAAAATGCATAACAACATATGGAATTCATGATATGCTCCTTAATGAGTTGAAAACAAAAACTTAGCTTTTAATCGTATTTGAAACTACTGAATGCACTGAGTTGATATTTTTTTAGAAAGCATTCTTCTCTTTAAGCACTTCTTTTTTAATCATATTTGATATTTCAAAACTGTCAAATCACTTTTTCAATGAAATTAGTGACTTAAGAATTTTGACAACTAAAACTTTTTGCAAATGTTAGCTTACTTTTTTGAAATACAAGAAATACTTTAAAATTGATTCAATCTTTTTAATCTTGTAAATATTTGAGTAATTTAAAAGCTGATTGATAGCTACAGTATCCAAATATTTATTTTACAGAAGAATTTAAAAATTTGCAACTTTCTTATTAGCTAATTCGTTAAAATTTAGTAAAGTATTTCATTGGTGAGGGTTCATTGAAAAATAAACACTATAAATCCAGATTGTGTTTTTTTTTTTTTTTTATTTAGGTTCATCTAAAAGATAGATACTAACACTTGCCAACATGTAGCTAAGAAACTGTTCTCCCAAGCTCTTGCTTGTAATGCATAACAATTGTGGTTTAGTTAAAAATTAGCCTACTTTATCAGTGAAGTTGCATTTTATATATATATATATATATATATATATATATATATATAAGAAGTATAGTCTTAAGGTGTGCTATATTTATGTGATAAAGTGCTCAATATCAGAGATAGAGCGTATGTAAATATAAAAGTGAACATTGAAGTCAACACTTAGAGGCCTCTAAGTGTTGACTTCAATGTGCACTTGTATATATAAAATGTGTGTGTTTCATTGCCAATTTTTGTGGCAGATTAAAATCAATATCTTTGTCAAATACTTAACAGTATATATATTAATTTTAATAAATAATAAAAAGTATTTTAACAAGATTAATAGAGTACAAAAAAAACTTAAATCAGAACATGAATCATATGAAAAACAAAATAATTAGTTTCATAAATGTTTCTATTTCATTTAAAGCTGATGGAAAGATCTAACATGATTTTCTTTCCATCAACTCATTTGAAGTTAAAGTGATGGTTAAAAAAAAAATGGAAAAAATGGTTTTGTAATAAAAAGAAAATGATTAAAAAAAAACAATTATCTTTGGTGACACTCTTAACCAGATACACAAAATATAATAGAACATGTAAATGAAAATTAATTAAATATATATATATATATATATATATATATATATATATATATATTATAATTTCTTGAATTTCGTGAGTTCTTGAGAATAGTTTTGTTTAGTGCAAATTTAGTCTATTTCCCTCTCGTTAACTTTTTTATCACAGTATTAGATTTTTAAAATATATTTTGCAATATGGTAAAAGTCAAACAGTGATCAATTTAAAACATGCACATAATATCAATAAATAGGGGCTATATATCTATATACATTCGCGATTCAGGGGAAGGTATTTAGATATATGTCCCCATGTGGTGATATACATAGGTGCCTTACAGTAGTCTGAAAAACAGGAAAAAAAAATTTTATATCACACAGAGATGAGTAAAAACACAAGCAAATTTTTACTGAATATATTAAAAGTTTAGAAGGCTCTCTCTCTCTCTCTCTCTATATATATATAACATTTTGGACATAGGCCTTTCCCCAATTTCCATGGGGTGGAATGAGCCTTTATCCTACCACACTGAACTGATGTGTTTTGATAATAGGGAGTGTAACACACTTGGGCAATCATGTCTCTTTGATTCACCATTGCCAAAAGGTATTTGTCTGTAAGTGAATGTAACAAACCTGATGGGAATTCAAACTCTCCTCTTCCATTTCTCCTGAGCCATTATCCATTACAGGTGGAGATGGGTTACTTAATGTTTAGAAATATCAATATAAGACTGACATTTAAAAATTACAGTAATCTATAGCCTCAAATTCAATAACAAAAAATACCCAAATTTGTATATATCAACTCAGTTCACTTGTGCTTATTTATTGTACACAATTTGGAGAGTTAGCAAGTAAAGAATTATTAATGTGAATTTCTTTCTTGTTATAAACTGACACTGATAATTTTTGCTAAACCTTTCTCTTCATAACATCACAACAGAACCAAAGAAGGGAATAATACATACTGACCTGTACAAATGGAAAATTTGCAATTCCTTAGGTGAACAGTGAATCCAAACTTTAAATATGGAGTTTAGATTCACTTTTTTTTCTTTTTTTTTTTTTTTTAAAAAAAGGTACCCTTTTAAATTTATTTTTGTAATTTTCATCAACACTTACATTTTAGAGTTGATTATATTTACAAGGAAGAAAAATAATTTTCCAGTAAATACAAATTGTTGGCTTGCAATTTATCTTAGATCATTTATAACACGATTTTGTTATAAAACTGTTTAAACTAGCAAGTTTCATAAAATTCCCAACTGTAGCAATAACTGGACAAATGAATAAAAGAATAAAAGCACTTTTTGGTTTTAACAATCAAAAACATTTGCTCCTTATTTTGAAAGGTTTCAGAAATACATACTTAGTAAAATATAAAACAGATGTTAAAACACTTCAATATAAGTATAAGTTCCAAGCTACTAAAGAAAAGAACAGAGAAAGTATTTGATTATCATTTTAGCAAGTAATGTACTATACATTTCTGTTTCATTAAAAATAATCTATATATATTTACTTATCCTATCCTTATTTTCACAAAAATTACGTGTAAAATGTAATTATGTCCCCTAACAAGTACTTCTGTGAAACTGATTAGATAAGTGAATATTTGTTACTATTAATACTGTCTCTGATATTGACTACTGTTATTACAAAGACTACTTGCCTTAAAAAAAGACAAAAATTATCAGAAATAGCCTGTTTGACCATCTTTTTTCAAAACAATCTGTATATACATCCACACAAAAAGTGGATTTAGTAACAGATAATTATCTTTTTGATGAGTTGTTAGCAAATTCTCTATATAACTGCCATGAAATGATTTCAGAAAATTCCATTCATGTTCCAAAGATTTGTTTTCTAAAATCAAATGCCAAGTTGTTTGTCATATGACAGATATTTACACTTTAAGCCAAACAAGTTAATTGTAATGCCAATGACAGAATCCATCACTATATAACAAGAAAGCATTTAGAATATATGCATCTGCCATTGCCACTAAAAACTGATTGAAACGAAGTTCATAGATATAAAACAGGGTAAGTAACTATATAAGTTTAGATTTTTGTTTAATTATATGAAATATTTCTCAATAACAAAGTTCTTGTGGATCTGTTCTCAAATTTAATCAGTTGTTCTACAAAATAGAACTTTTTGAGGTATTGTGGACTGACAGAGAAACAGTTGAAATCCCTAACCACTATCCAACTTGCTGTCAAAGTTAATTAATATTAGAATGATTTACAAAAAAATAACTAGCTTTGATGACATCATTAATTCAGCTGTTGTTTTTAATTTTGGAGAGGAAAGATTATCAAAATATTAAGGTAATTTCATTAAATATAGAAAAATTAGAGATTAATAATGTTTCAAATTATTTCTGAAAAGAAAAGTTTTCATAATCAACCTCTCAAGTCCATTGTTGGACATAAAATTGCCCTTAGAGGAAGTCCTAAATGAAGAAATGGAAACTGATAGGCCCTAAGCTGCCATGCTAACTCATCATGTACTGTGATCTTTGTGTGGAAGCTCAATCTGAACCTCCTTAAATGACTGTACTCAGAATAGTTCCAGACTACTTCACTGTATATAAGCTTTTTATCTATACCTGTTTTCTTAGATTGTCAAGCATAAGGTTTTAATTTCATAGGTGGGTATGTTTTCAACATTATCTCTGTTTATCATAAACTTTGCTGATAAACTTGACTATTCACAAATTGCCAACAAAACTAATTCTTGTAAAATTTTAAAACAGACAACTATTTTGCTTCCTAAATCTTTAATTCAAAGATAATGTCATTAAATATCATCCCCGGATACAGTGACTGCTGATTAGGATTTTTTAAATATTTTAA